TGAAATATTCTTGGACATGTGGGATGTTTAATAGTGTGTTGTTTACTTTTCAAGAACTTGGAATTTGTCTACATCTTTCTAATAAACTTCTCTTGGTTGTCAGTGAACATATTTTGTATAGAATTTCAATGCCATGTTTTATGGCCCAAACTATTCTGTCTTGACAAATGTTCTCCATGCATCTGAAAAGAATTTGTATTCTGCTCTTGCTGGGTAGAATGTTCTATGAAGGTCAATTTGATCAATTTATTTGACAGTGTTGTAGGTATCATCTATAGTTACTGATATTCTATTTACTGATATTCAGTCAGTTACTGAGGGTTAAATACTGAAATCTCTCAGTCAAATTTGAATGTATTTCTCCTTTCACTTAACAGTTTTTGCTTCATTTATTTTGAAACTCATGTTTGGTTCTTGCACGTTTAGGATAGTTATGGTCCCTTTGACAATTGATGCCTTCATCTACTATTAAATGTTTACTGTTGATGTTATTAATATATCACTCCAGCTTTGTTTGATTAATACTTGCACACTTTATCTTTTCCTTTTCCTCTATTATTAACTTACCTGGCATCTTTATACTTAAAGCAAATTTGCCATAGACAGCCATATAAAGTTATCTATTGTTGCCTAAGATACTACTTTAAAACTTGAGTGGCTGAAAACATTTATTGTCTCATTGGTTTTGTGGATCAGGAATTTTGGAGCTCTTTGATGGGATTTTTTCCCCTCTCTCTCTTTGCTTAATTTTGTATTATTTCCACCGCTGTATCTTCAATAGTTCATCTTTACACCTGCTCTTCCTTATTTGTACTTAATACTAGCAAGTATATTGGCTTTTTAGATATTATGTGTTTTTCATTTTATAAGCTCAAGTTTTTAATATCCTTCATTTCTCTATTCTTGCCAACAACCCGCACTGACGAGATAAACTGGATTTAAAAGAGCTGGCTATGACATTAAGCTAAGAAAGCAGCGAAAAAGCACAGGGCACAGAAGTAATTTTTATACCTAGGGAGGGACAGCTCAGTGACCTTAAGGGTCAGCTTTCACACTGGAAAGAGCTCTGGAAAAGAGAGCCTGAACCCAGAATCTCTTTATTTTTATATGGGAATCACAAAGGAGTTTAGATAGAATGTTCTTCACCAAATAAGGCAGGGGATAAAGTTTCAAGGGTGGAGTCCTGCTTCCTAATGTCTTGTGGTCAGCATATTGATTGACATCTTGGCAAGTCACACCCATCTCAGGTGCTGTGTGGGATCACAGGCAGAGCTAAAGAGAAGTCACACTTGCATCACACAGCCCAGCCATCACCAGGCCTGTCCCCTCACATGGCTACTATGTGCATAGTTCACACACACAGCCCATGGATGGCTCATGATACTACAATTTTTGTTTTACTACATCTTAATCCTAGGGGATTAAGGACATGATAATGATAATAGTTTTAATACTATCTTACTATCTTCTTTTAATTTTAATTCTACCATTTTATTTTAATTCTGTCATTTGTTGGTTTTTTGAATGGTTTTATTGTAGCTATGGATTATATATATTGTCCTTTACATACCTGGTAATTTACATCCCCTGGGTGAATTCTAAATATTTTGAATTTATATTCTTAAGTTCCAGTGATTTTATATAGTGTAAAGAGTGCTGTAATTTTTGTTTGTTTGTTTTTTGTTTTTGTACTGTGGATTGAACCCAGAGGAGTTTTACCACTGAGCTACATGCCCAGTTCATTTTTATTTTTTCATTTTTTAAATTTTGAGACAGGGTCTTGTTTGGTTGCTGACCTCAAACTTAGGATCCTCCTACCTCAGCCTTCTCAGTCACTGGAGTTACAGGTGTGCACCACCAGGCTGGCAAGAGTACTATACTTTCTAGTGACATGGACTGAGTCTTACCGGATCATCTGATGCTAGCTTTTTTTTTTCCCCTGTGGTGCTGGGGATTGAACCCAGGGCCTTGTGCATGCAAGGCAAGCACTCTACCAACTGAGCTACATCCCCAGCCCTGATGTTAGCTTTTAAGCATATGTTAGAATAGTCCTGAAACAACTAATTCCGCCCCAATATTAGAATGATAAGCATCTGGACTATTCTTAATGTCCCACTATTCCTCAGATCTGTGCAGCTAGTGAACTTGGCTAATAGGTAACCATATTATTGCCAACCCTGTTTAGGCTTCAAGAACTTCTGAGGCCTGCTGCTTTTTCATGGTTCTGTCTCTAGCCTTATGTAATTTCATCACACACATGACAGTGTTGAGGATAAAGAGGCCTTCTGCAGAATTCTGCCTCTTTTATTTAAGTTCCTCCCACTAAATATTCTGCCCTTCACATTCTAAATACCATTCTCTCCCTAAACTCATCTCTGTCTCAAGTCAGCAGGATCTCTGGCTTCTGTTTGGATTACTCTCCCTAACCTACCTTTTGGAAACTGCCTCCTTGCACTACACTAGAGAAATCAAGCAGCTTGCTTATGTGTTTGCTTTCCTTTCTTTCAGGTATAATGCCCTGTGTTGACCATTGGTCAATATTTGAAAATATCCATCATCATTAGGGATAAATATTGTTCTCTTAGAAATGCAGGGTAGAACATTAATATTTTTAATTTCCAATTTTGAAGGTCAGAAGACGGGCAGATATTACCTTCACTGTGGCAAATGAAGTTTCCTATTTTTCATTTCTCTTTTTGCATTATCACCATTTCATCATGAATTTATATTTATTCAGTATTTTACTATCAATCATAGTCATATTTTTAATCATCATTGTTCCCAAATTTTCTCAATGGAAGTGTCTTCACATTTGTTTTCTATGTCCTCAAGAAACATTCCACCTCCCCTAAGAGCATCCTTGCTTTGTGGCACAACAAAAAGATGACCTAATCTCAGAATTTTCCCCCAACCTGAAATGAGCTATTTGTTTTCCTTTTCATAGTAAATTGATGTTCTGTCTGGGGTTTTTGTTGTTGTTTATTTGGTTGGTTGGTGTATTGGTTGGAGTTTTGCTCTTTAATTTTTTCAGAAATTTTTATTTTAACTTTCCTGGACACAGGTAGTGTAGGAGATAATTCTGAGTTTTAGATAAAGGAAGGGTTTGGATACGCTTATTAGTTTCCTTGATTTTTTTTTTACTATGATGTAATCCAGTGTGATTTGTTTAATGTGTGATACATATTTTGGTCTGTCTTCTGATGTTTTTCTTGCTTTTTGGGCTTCTAATCCCATTCTACTTGTCCTGGGTGTTAATATTTTTGCTTTTATATGAATTGAAGCTCATGCTACTGTCTTCTAGTTATCCTGAGAGTGTGACTGTGGAAGGTTTAGATGTGTTTTATGTTGCTGTAAGCTGATTTTGGAGGATATGGCTATTAGGTGGCTGCCATGATTCTCTAAGCACTTTAGCAATTTTTCTTTGTAATCTAGAATTACATCTTTGAGATTTGTTATTGTTTTGTTGTATTTTGCATTCTAGGGGACAAAAATGAAGACTCTCCCCACAAAGCATCATTTTTAATACTTCTGATACTGTTTGGAATATCGTCTATCACTCAATTACTCATATTTTTTGTGTACTTGTGTATATATCTGTACACATCTCTCTCTCCCATTGTCTTTCTCTCTCACTTTTCCTCTCACTTTCTCTCTCTCTCTCTCTACACACACACACACACACACACACAATGTAAAAGAAGTAACGCTTGAGAAAAATGCAAATGAAGAAAAGGAATGGTTAATACATATAACATTTCCTTTTCAGAATTCCATTCTTCATGTTCGTTAAGCCTTTATTACAATTCCTAATATTTTTTACTTTATAAGAAATTCATAAATTCTTTCTTGATCAGTTCATCAAAGAGATATTATTTCCCTGTTGTCTTCTAGGTTTAGATCTAAGGATCTAGGATCTGGCCTCTTTTTCTTCCTGAAGTCCTTCTTATACATAAATACTTCATCCTAAAAATGAACTCAGATAGACTACATAGCCACATAACACCATTTACAGATTATCTTTCTGTTGATTTTAGACAAAATGCAATTCTGCTGACATGACAGGATCATTCCATATTGTATACATGCATTGTATTATAATATTGTACACCATCAAAAGTACAAATATTGTATGTTGCTTAAATATACTTCCACTACTCTGTTGATTCTTCCAGATGTGTTTGTTCTTTTAAAATCCACAGACAATAATCTAATGAATCATTTTGTAGTCTATCACAAGATTTAGGAATGAAATACAAAAAAAAATATTAGCTTTCCAAAATTTTGTAATCTCATTTTGCTTTTCTAAAGTCCATGAATTATTCCAAACAGTCAACCTGCCAGTTAGATCAAGCAATGTAGATATCCTATTCCAGGATTTATAATTATTTAAGAAGAAACTTTTGAAAAACACAAAAACTTTAACTCAGAAGTTCTCAATGTGTATATGGATCTACCCCTAACTTGTGACTTCTCTTTGTTCAGATTCCCACTGAGAGTTTTTAGTGCCTCTTATTCTGAGACCCATATTTATGATTTCTTCCATTTTCATTACAATGTAAGTTAGGAGTTAGAGTTTACTTTAATTCTATATCTCATTGATAACAATTGACATGTTTTTTTTCTCTTTTATTTTTTGTTTTGTTTCTCATTGAAGGGCCTGGTTTATCTAACATTATTACTGCCAAATTTCATTTTTCTATCAATAATTTTAAGATTTTTTTCCATTTGAATTACTCTACATAAATATAAATCACTGCACTGACCTTAAGGTATCTGTGTCACAATATATAATCCATATAATGATATATGTCAGCATTATGCATAAAACTTTAAATGAAATTTTAGTTCAAATATGTGAAGAGTGAGACTCTGTAAAGGCTTTATTTCATACAGATATTAAACAAATAAATATACATGTGTGTGTATTTTTATATATATTATATGTATGAAATATTTATATCCAAAAGTAAATGTTAATAATCTGTGCCTCTTTTCTACAGGAGAGAATGTTTAAATTTTATCAGATGAAACATACTTTTCAAATACTAGATAAAATGAGATGCTTGCGAAAACGTTCTACAGTGTCATTCTTGGGAGTTCTTGTCATTTTCCTCCTATTTATGAATTTGTACATTGAAGATAGCTATGTTCTGGTAAGTTATAGAGGTTGATTATTTTTTGTTAAAAATAAAGCATATGTCAACTTAAATTGGTATAATTGTAAGCTAAATTGAATCCTCTGTTGGGCAGGTAAACTTAGCTTAAGCAAAATTATAATATATATATTTCCTACCTAGAGATTTTTTTCTATAAATTATAATTTTTCAATATTATACTTGTTTTAACTTATGTTGCATTAATTTATTTAATACTGTATATATTGTGTTTCAAATATGTCTATCTAATTACAAAGGAATTATTTATCATTATTATGCTGAGTTAATAAGGACTATAATTTGAAATATATAAAATAAAATTTGCTTCACAAGTATTATTCCTTACTTTCTCTATTTTTCTTATTGAAATTTTATTGTCTAGATAAAAATAGTATCTAATTGTGCTATTTTGTTTGTGTAATATTTTGTTATAATATTTGTGTTACTTTTGGATTTTGAATAGCTCTAAATGGCCACCATTATATATATGATCTCAAATGATGAATGTATTATGTGGAAATTATTCAGTGTTTAAAAATATATAATAAAAGTCAGTGTATAAGAATATACCAATTTGTTTTATGCAAAATATATAAAATAGAGAGTTCATTCTGGCTAATAGTGAGAAATCAGTTTGTATTTTTCTTATTTTACTTATGGTTATAAATGTCACATAATTTCATATCTGTTGATAATAATATGAACATTGTTGTTTATTCAGTTTTTTTCAACTGAGCCTAAGATATATGCTCTAATTTTTATTTTGTTATTACTATTTGCATATTTCAGAAAATCAAGTCCTTTGCACTCACAGGGACTAAATAGTATTGTAGCAAGAAATATTATAACAATAATCATAAAAAGCATTCCCAATAAAATGTCTTATTGTATTGAGCATGATTCATTAATTATGTACTCTTTGCCAGATAGCATACGATATCTTATGAATCCACCATAAAATCTTAGTACAGATTCTTCTAGTAGGTTCTCTGTAAAACATCTCATTTCCTTTAACTCTGTATTTTTTATAATGAAATTCTGCCAGAATCCTAGCTCTTGACATTTGGCCAGTTTTTTTTTTTTTTTGTCATCAAGCAAAGATCCTGATTTTTTAGACTCTTCATTCTACTATCCATGATCAATTGACAATATAGTGGAAATCACCAAAGATTGAAAGAATTTGACTAGATATCATTTATACAAGCATAGAAAATTGGATAAACTTTCTAATTATGTGAATTTTGGAATTTTTTTAACCTCTCAAGTTTATGAGAATATAATAAGGTTCATGTGATCTAGCTATATTTTCTTGATTGAATTTAAGATGATAAATTAACTAAAGAGTCTCCTAATAATGATTCAGTTTTTTAATAAAAATTAATTGCATTTTTGTCTACTGGTAAAAGTATATCAAATTTCATAAATCAAGAACCTGCTATTGATTGGAGTTTACTATATTTAATGACTTCTTATGTTTATAAGAGAAGGTCAAATGCATTTCCAATCTTTCATTTTGACATCTCCATAAGACCACTAATATGGAACATATACCACTTTTTGTAACAGAATCTCTATAAACCCATAATCTCATGTAAGAAATAATATAATATTTATCAATAAGAATAATCAAATGCTATTGCCCTGTTTTGTGAATTTTTACAGTCTACTGTAAACATTGATTCTAGCCTGCCAATGTGAAAAATAAGATTTATGGAAATAACTCTTATACTAAAGAGTACTTTTTCAATGAAATTTCTATGACTATATTGAGCATGTATTTAGTTATATTTACAAATTAATCCATGTGCAAAGAAGAGATATATTTCTCAGATTTGAAAATGATTATCAAAAACAAAACAGAAAAATAATTTTTAAATATTTATGTTAAGTCAGAAACAGTGAACAATGAATTAATTGTGATCTTTAAATATCAGCACCCATCCTTATAATAAATTCAATGATAACATTTTTGTTATTTAATTTTTTTAGTTTATCATATGATTTCTAAGTAAGTTTCATTTTGAGCTGGCTTAATAAATATTTAAAACATCCAATCACTAATATTAAATTTTATTAAAGATAATCTTCTGAAAATGTATAATATCTATGGAAATCTGACTACTTCAAAAATATACTGTGGTACTTTTTTAATACTTCTCTCTTTTGACATTTTCAGCTGAGTTTCATTTTTAATATGCTAGCCTTGACCTCATGATTCTATAATGATACCATTTCCTAACCATAAATTTTAGGAGATATTTTTATTATTATTATTATTATTATTATTATTATTATTATTATTATTATGGTCTCCTTTTTATTGCTGGAAAATAATTCTTGCAATTCAGAGGAATCAAATGAAGAGTTAGAAGTAGTATGGTCGCTGGAGTTACTCAGCACATTCTACTCTGCTATTTTTGCTAGAAAATCCAGCTGTGGACTGAAATCCTAGGAATATTAACAGTTTAGTATATTAGCTTATGTATTAGAGACATATGACTTTCAGTGGGAAAGGAAGCTGAGCTCAGTGGAAGAGACAAATACTATTACAAGTCAAGCTAAGTAGAAGAGAAGCTGCATGCCCAATCAACTTAGCCTCTTGGCTGTGAGCATCTTCAAAGTAGCCACTAGGGTATATATTTAGTCTGTAGCTAGTCCATTGAATTTCATTCCCATCCAGAAAATGATTGTCATAAAACTTTGTCTTATTACTGAGAAACACACTATAGCATAGTAACTACAGAAAGAAGGTATCCAGGGACAGCCTGGCTGTTCAGTTAGATGCCTCTGGAAGCAACCAACAAGGCTGACTCAGGTGAAAGGTGCATTATTTATTTATGCTGAAAAGTGTAAAGAAGCTTGTACTTGAGAATTTAATTAAGTGCTTTCATATCAGTTCCATTGCATTTTATATTCTGTTATGTCCTTCAATCAAAATGAATGTATTCCATCTTATCACAGAAAAGGCTGAGATTTTTACACTTTCAGGACAGGATTCTTAAAGAGATATTAAATCCTGCAGTTTCTTTAGAATGTAACATCTCATAAGAACAAAATGATGATGTGAATTCAGTACTGTGACTACTGTGATTTTTATAGAAATTTCTTCTACACCCTATTGATTATATACACTGTTACATTGCTATTAAAGCAGTTCATACTAAACTGAGTCCATAGATACTTCTTGGCCACTTTTAATTTCATTTATTTTAGTCTTAAGGATTTTCATAGGTTTGCTTATGGATATGTGAAAATATTTATGTGTAAATAACTTAAAATGATCATAGATTAATGGATGTTGAATTGATATATTTAGCATCTAAGGTTTAATTTCAGGTATTTTGAAAGTCTATAGCTTTTGTAGATGGCAAATCCATTATAAATCTTTTAAAGATCAAATGTTTTCTTTATCCAAATTATCAAGGCAATATAAAATATAAAAATGCAGTATTAAAGACCAAATGTAGATTCACAACATAATTGGATAAACAGAGAATATATTTAGAATGAATATTGATTTAATAAAGTCCATATAAAAAGACCTTATAACTCTTTAGTCATCCTTTATTATTTTCCATTTTTATTCCAAGAAAAGTCCAGTCTGGCCAGACTTAAAATGTGAGCTAATCATCTTTTTTACATTTCAGTTTAAGACAAAGTATTGAATGTTCTAATCAAGGTAAAACTTGTATTTGAATCTTGTCCAATCTTTAAGAACAGAGGTTTAATTAAAGTTTTATTGACCACAGACAGGTAATATCAAGACTGAAGTTATTTAATGCATCGACTTTCTCTGCTTGATGACTTGCACACGATTGGCCTTACATCCTGTACTGAGTATTAGAAATAGATCCATAAAATGACACACCTTACCATAAAAAATTCTCCTTAATTTGGTTGCCCCAAAACATATATTAATAAACCATATACCCAAGCCAAACAAGTCATTGTTTTGCTAATAATGTATAATCAATAAAGACTGATGAGTTAAGTAATCAATATTTGCCATTGAACTTATACCAAAGAAATGGAGGCAATTAAATGGATAACAAGACATATTTTAAACTGAAATTCAATATTTTCATAAACTTAAGTCTTTCTGAACATTTAATAAAATGTAGTCCACTACCAGGTGTAAAAATGATCTTAAATATTGAAAAAGCACACTTACAGAATGCCACACAAAAACACATGTGCCCTCCCCCCCCACACAAGCAAAACTATCATAAGACCAGTATAAGGTTTGAACACAAATTCTTGACTTGGTAAAAATGTGTTCTCATTGAGGTTAATTAAAGACAATTGAAAAAATTTAAAAAAAATTTTTAAAAACACTACTATATCATGAGGACTTTAGTCGACTGTTCTCAACATCTTTTAATTACAGTGGCCTTATAAGCAACTTATTAAAACTCCTTACTTAATAAATTATGCAAAATCCAATGGTTGTGTCTACGTTTGCATCTTCCTAATTATTCCTAAGGTTTTACAATCATAGACATTATATGTGGTCTTTAATTTGAGATTGTTTAAGAAAGAATATTTTATAGGATGGTATAGGAGACAAGAAAAAATCAATTTATTTTGACTCAAATATGGGAAATTCTGTGGTAACTGGCCTCAGATGAAACTAAAATAGATTACCATTGAATTTTTAGATTGGTGGTTATTATAAAAATTCTGAATTCTAACATGAAGGTACTTGGAATTATCTTTCCTTTTTTAAAAATATTCTTTAGTTGCAGATGGACACAATATCTTTATTTTTATTTTTTTATTTTTATGTGGTGCTGGGAACTGAACCCAGGGCCTCACACATGCAAGGAAAGTGCTCTACGACTGAGCTACAACCCAACTGGGCACTGGGAATTTTCATGTAGATACTTGCTTATCAAGAGAATCCCATTATTTTTGTGTACACTGTAGAGAAGCAAATGAACTGTAATATAAAGAATGGAATAGAGGAGAGAGAAAGTGAAACAAAGGCTGTAGGTAGGAAATCAGGAGAGTGATGGTAGTCTTCAGCCTCTGAATCCAGTGATTGAGATTTATCTAATGTTATATGTTGTTGATATTACCCATATCTTCATAGTGTAAGGAGAAAATTTAATACATGACCCTCTATATTATTTATTTTCCTTGCCTCTTTCTTGACATTTAGGAGGGTGACAAACAGCTCATAAGGGAAACATCCACACATCAACTAAATTCAGAGCGCTATGTTCATACTTTCAAGGATTTATCTAATTTCTCAGGGGCCATAAATGTCACCTATCGCTACCTAGCTGCCACACCTTTACAAAGAAAACGTAAGTATCCTTAAACTTTTAAATTAAAGAATACATAAAATACTTTGTGAAAAATAACGTTTAATTTGTATAGCAATAGATGTTTGAGATTTATTAATTTAATATATACTTTGATAAGAACTTCAGTGTATCACAACTTGTAATTTTGTCACTGGCCAAATTCCACTAATAATGAAAAAATTGTGTCTAATTTTAATGTGAACTTTTTGGCAGTCTGATACAGGATGGTATATGACACAAGGAAAAGTTAACTTTAAAAATTAACTATTTCTGTGTTGTTCTATTTTCAGATTTTCATAGTTTAGTTTTATCACTTGCCACCAGTTTGAATTACCTTTTAAACCACGAACTGAGTGGCTTAAAAAACAACAAATTATTATTTCATGGTTCTGGAGGCTAGAAGTTGAAATCAGTTTACTGGAAGACCCACAGTCCCTCTGCCCACTCTAAGGAAAAATCTATCAACCTACATGACAAGCGGAGGTTCGTGTGTATAAAAACAAAGACATTTTTGAGGATTATCAATATGAGGATGATCACCTGGAGAGGGGGACAAATTATAGCCATCTAAAATAAGTGTTCACTAAGAGTGGCATGAGAAGGGTGTGGGATTTTAATGATGAATAAGAACAAAGGAGGAGGTTATAGCCCCCCATTGATGGTTATTGTTACATTGGTTGACAATAACAACACAAAATTTGATTGTTAATTAGTTACTGATATTATACATTCCATATAAGAACTATAATAAGAAAGATAAGGTTTTCATTGTGGTTATTTATTGTTTTTATGGAGTCAGAGAGTTTGCAGAAGTTTGCCACTCTGGGTCTGAATGACCCGACTATCATCTCTTGCATCATGTTTCCCTATGCTAAAGAATTCTGTGTGTGACATTTTGAATTATTTCTCAAATCCTTCTTTGGTTCTTCCATCTTGTGGTGGCCCCTGGCATTATATTACTTGTGGCAATGATAATTCCTGCCTCCATTATCATTGGCCTCCTTCCTTTATTCTCTCTGTATCCTCTCCTCTTCTTATAATGATACCAGTTACTGAATTCAGGGCATACCCCTAAATGTATGATTAGTTCATCTCAAGATTTATAACTAATAATATCTGTACATATCCTTTTTCCCAATAAGGTCACATTCTCAGGTTTTATGTAGACATGAATTCTTAGAGTAAACTTTTCATCCCTCTGTAGTATGAGAAAAAATATTTGAAATTAAGTAATTATATACTATATTTCATAGATTCCAAGACATCATCATTTATAAAAAGTACCTTATCCAATGGTGTACCATTAATGTATCTGATTAATAGACCACTGTAAACATAAGCATTATCAATTTTTTATATATATGTATATGTATATATATATGTATATATATATATATACATATATATATATACATATACATATATATACTGTTAGTTGTAGTCAGACACAATACCTTTATTTTATTTATTTACTTTTATGTGGTGTTGAAGATCAAACCCAGCACTTTGCATATGCTCGGCAAGCACTCTACTGCTGAGCCACAACCCTAGTCCCAGCATTATCAATTTTAACTATAAGACACCATCAATTGTAATTTGCAACTTACTATTTAAATGTTTTGGTGTGAAAAAATACAAATTTAAAATCAATGAAACACAGTGACATCATGACATTTTAATAGATTATATGGACACCACAACAAATTTTGTTTCCCTTTTAAGAACTTTTTATGCAAGGGACTTTGTGATAATCAACTTGAGGAAATTGGTAAGTTAATTTAGGTTTAATTTAGAGCTCTTTTCTTTTCAATTCTCCAGTTCAAATGTCTAGTCTTCTTCGGCTTTCATTTAACTGCCCAAGACTGCCATGATTCTTTTATCCCCGTATGTCACACCACCTCTGACTAAGCTTTACCAATTCCCCTTTTCTGTGTTTAATTTACTAATGACTATTTGCACAAATACCACCTGCTTTGTACTAAAGAGGCAATATAACAGAGCATAAGAGAGGGGCAGTTGGATCCTGACATCACACCACTTACTAAGTGTAACTGCAGTTTGAATGAGCTGCCTCGTCACACAGGTCCTGCTTTCCTTTATGTAAAGCAGAATGATGGCAATAACTACCCTGTCTCAAAAGACTGTTGTGAACACTGAAGATGCATAAGTAAGTTAAAAGTGCATAGACTCCTTCCTCTGATGTACAAAAGCTTTCATAAGTGTTGGCTAGTATTGGATCTTAATCAAATGTGGTGACTTAAAGTTTAATAATGGTATCATGTGACATATGTGTTTCAGTAGAAGTCAGAGTTTTAAGCCCGTGTATTTACACAAAATGTGTAAGTCTCAACTCAACTTCTAAAATAGACTAATCAGAAAGGTCTAACCTGGAAGAGGTTTTTTTGTTTGTTTGTTTGTTTGTTTTTAGTATTGTAGAAATTATATCATGTAGGTGTCTATGTGAAATCAATGATTTTGGTGCATATTAACATTTCCTCATTTCCCAAATGGTAGTTCAAAAATTTTATTCACTGAGTTATGTGAGAATGAGTTCTTTAAAAAGTGAAAATATTTCAATAGAAAGACATGTAACACTTCTTAGAGGTGACCTGCTTTTCTCGGAGTTTTTTTTTAATCCCTAAAAATATCCTGTCTCTACTTCTAGATTTTAAATGTCTGAATGACTTTATTTAATCAAAATTTCTATAATTTGTGTCTCAAAATTAAGAAAACAATAATGTTCACATCTTGGAACAATGTGCCATACAGTTGAGCGTTGATAAGTTTTTCAAATATATCATATGATATTGCTTATTTTCTAATTAACCTTCTATGTAAATTTCAAAATAACAATGTGAAGTTTACTTATGAATTCTTCTAGTGTAAGAAAATGATCAAAGTGAAAATATGTGACAGGCCCTGTGAAAAATTTAAAGACGATTAAAATAATGTGCTGCTCTTATTTTTCTTTTCTACTTGAGACTACTTTATGAGTCTCAATTGTGAATTCTCTTTCCTTTTTGTAGATTTTTGAAAATATAATTTGTATATTAGGTAAACATTTCTCTCTCTTCTCTAATGGGCACATGTGAGAACACTAAGCTTTAGAACACTTTAAAGCTTTCTTTTGAATTTTATAAACAAGTGATCAAAACTGTAGGGCCCATATATCATTATTCTTAAGATGCATTTGTTTTCAGTGGAAAATATCAAAGAGATACTATAGGCAAATATTTTCTCCTTTTTTTCTGTTATTCAGAACACTTTTCACATTTGTCTTCCTTCTGAATTCTTTTGTTTAGGGTATCTTACCATTGGACTTTCATCAGTGAAACGAAAAAAAGGCAACTATTTACTTGAGACAATCAAGTCAATTTTTGAGCAATCCAGCTATGAAGAGTTGAAGGAAATTTCAGTAGTAGTTCATCTGGCGGACTTTAATTCATCCTGGCGTGATGTCATGGTCCAGGATATTACACAAAAGTTTGCCCATCATATCATTGCAGGAAGATTAATGGTTATACATGCTCCTGAAGAATATTACCCAATTTTGGATGGTCTTAAAAGAAATTACAATGATCCAGAAGATAGAGTCAAATTTCGTTCCAAGCAAAATGTAGATTATGCTTTTCTGCTTAATTTTTGTGCCAATACTTCATATTATTATGTAATGCTCGAAGATGATGTCCGATGTTCCAAAAATTTCTTAACTGCCATCAAGAAAGTCATTGCGTCCTTAGAAGGAACTTACTGGGTAACTCTTGAGTTCTCTAAGCTTGGCTACATTGGTAAACTTTATCATTCTCATGATCTCCCACGTTTGGCACATTTTTTATTAATGTTTTATCAAGAAATGCCTTGTGATTGGCTGTTGACTCATTTTAGAGGTCTGTTGGCTCAGAAAAATGTGATCCGGTTTAAACCATCTCTCTTTCAGCACATGGGTTATTATTCCTCATATAAAGGAACTGAGAATAAGCTGAAGGATGATGATTTTGAAGAGGACTCATTTGACATTCCTGATAACCCCCCTGCAAGTCTGTACACCAATATGAATGTGTTTGAAAATTATGAAGCAAGCAAAGCTTACAGTATTGTTGATGAGTACTTTTGGGGAAAACCACCTTCAACAGGAGATATCTTTCTTATTGTTTTTGAAAATCCAACTATAATCAAAAAAATTAAAGTGAATACTGGGACAGAAGATCGGCAAAATGACATTTTGCATCATGGAGTCCTTGATGTTGGGGAAAAAGTTATACTTACCAAACAAATAAAACGTTGTGATTCTTACTTAAGACTAGGGGAATTCAAAAATGGAAACTTTGAAATGTCAGATGTGAATCAAAAAATTCCATTTGATATACACTGTATGAGGATATGTGTTACCAAAACACAAAAGGAGTGGCTGATTATTAGAAGCATTAGCATTTGGACTTCTTAGCCAATTAAATCAGTATGTTCATTTGCTGAAACAGATCTTTCTGTTTCCTTTTTTGCTAACTTCCTCTTTTGCTACTTTTGTCTTTTGGGAGGAAAGCAATGAATGTGTATGTTAAAAGAAAAGTCTATCAGTTTTGATTCACACATTGTCAATACAATTTTACTCTACACATTTGTGTTTATTTTTACTTTTGAAGTTAAATATCATCCCATGGTAGATTCTACTTTCATTTATACTTTTAGATGTTCTTAGTTTCACAATTGCAATTGTCTAACAAGTCATATGAAAGATATAAAATAAGTTTGTTGGATGATAATTCTTGAAAAATAGTTGCCAACTATATGTACTTATTCAAGAAGTGATAATTTCTTGTATCAGATAGATTTTTACCAAGTATCTCTATGAATATGCAGTTGGCTACAATTATAATCTGTTTTATTTTTCTTATGAATTTAGGTTTTCATTTACTTCTGTGCATCTGCAGTGAATACCTTCACATAGAAGTGGTGTCTTTACAACATATTTTTTATTTGTAAGTAGGGCTATGGGAAAAATAACTTTAAAATATCTTTCCCCTAATTATTTATATGAAAGGGAACCTTGATCATTGTTTAAAACATTTAATTGAACATTTATTATTAATAAATTTTCTGTGGGATAAAGTCTTTTTCTAGTTTCCCTTTTACAAAAAATTTTAAAAATAACAGTTAAACCCAATATTTTCAGATAACATTGGGCCCCTGCATTTAATAGAAAAAAAAAAGAGAGAAAGAAGGCCAATAGTTCATTCATAAAGATATTTTCAGTATATACAGAAAATATTTGAAATTGATTTTATACGTTTTGTATTAAAATTTGTGTGACTGAAATTATTGTAATTTATCATATAATTTTTGGGGAGTTTAAATGGTTATCTTATAAAGGATAAAAGTGAGAACCACAGAAATTAGCTAATATTTCTATACTCAGTGAGCTATTTCTTAACAAAGCCAGAATGAGAGATCTGCTCTTCTGATAATCAGACAATGCTCTGTCTCTTGTATGGGGATTGCTTCTCACAAGTTTTGCTTTCTCTTCTCTGCTATGTAGTTCTCAGATAATAATCTATGCCTTCTGGAAACAGCTGGTTTAATTGTTCCATAAAGCATACTATTATGCTGTGGAATAATCTTGAAGGGTCCTAATGGATGATTTTGTGGTATTTGCACTCAAATAGTAAACAAACGTCTCAATTTTTACTAGTAGGGACTGGACAGTTGTGTCTGCCATTTCCTTCAAACAACTTAGGACACCCTAATATATCCTGAAGACCTAATGTTCTCAGAATATCCTGAGCTTGTCTCATCCTTCTTATTTCCTGATGAACAGTAAAGATGAAAGATTCATTATGAAGAGAAATACAGGGTACTTCACATATGTTTGTGGAAAAATTCAAATCCAGTTTGTATAGCCTATATATGTGCGTATACATGTGTACATATGAAAACTAGACTTCTGATAGTAAGAAGAAATGGGAAAATCTTTCTGTTCTTCCATCTTTCCTGAAATACAGTCCTTGGATTTACTGGTATGATATATTTCAAAAAAATATTAGAATTTTTAAATTTTTTTTCATTCTATCCAAATCAATTAAATTAGAAACTCATTTGAAAAATTAAGAAATTTTGTTCCTTTCTTCACATCTTAGCTGTATGTATTTTCTTTGTACCAAGTTACTATAATGTTAGGTAGAGAAATCATTATCCTTTAAGAAGACAGTAAATATTAATATTTTATGGCACATCTGAATCTGAAACTCATAGAAAAATACTAGCACAACTATTTAAACTTTTCTTTACCTTGATTTGGAGATTACTTGCCAGACAATTAAGATTCTGTTTTCCTGATTTTTTTTCAATTCTCTTTTGTTGACTCACTAGCTATATACTATTGTACATGTTTCTCAGAATTTTCAAATAACACTTTTTCCTGAACTTCAGTGATAAATTTGCACAACTGTGTTACATAAACTATGAAGCCCTAGACAGACTTCATGAAATGAACTCTAACTTTTACATATTCTTTTGAGAGTGTGTTTCCAAAGACCAGCTATTGGCATATATCAAGTTTTGGAAAATACTTCACGAAGGACTTCTGAGGGTTGTAGGGAAGTCAGGTGTTTACCAGAAAATTATAAAAGCAAATGTGAGCCAAAGAAGTCACATTGCATCCTAAGATCCTTTCATTACTAAAACTGAAATTGGATAACTTGTCCGATCACCTGAAGCTGTCTGTATATTTTCTTTGAAAATTGATGTGTGTGAAATAACCTAAAGAAAAGACTGAGGTTGACAAGAATCACTTCTTCGTTAAAGATAAAGTAACCACCCTCTTTCAAAAGGAAAAATTTTGAAAAATGTTTATTTTTGACATTTCTGACAAAACATTATTTACATGATCCAATGTTGCATTTCCTATTTTTAAAAACTCTGAATAAGACCGTAGGCACTTTGTCTCAGAGGCTTAGAGTCCAAAATACAATTATTAGGTTTAGACCTAATAATCTGTTATAATGTATTATGTGATCTCTCTCTTCACAGTTAAAATATATATATATATATATATATATATATATATATATATACACACACATAATATATACATATATGTTTTATATATATAAATGTATATGTGTATATTATATTTGCAAATATGTACTTTATTTTCTTTATTACAAAATATCAATTGAAAAGAATTGGGATGAGATCTAAATAGCTGAGTCATGAAAATAAGATACCGGCAGATTTCAAGCACAAAAAAAATACATATACATTAAATAATATCTCAGATTATAGAAGATTAAGCTGATGATCCAAAAGCTTATGTACACTTCAAATTCTCCTGAAGGGAACCTTTCCAACATTTATGTACATTAGAGTAAAACATTTGGTAAATAGCACAATAAGATTTGAAAAATATGCGTTTTTAGAAAAATATACATTTTAATAGCAGTAACAAGTGTGAATATAAAACCATACACTAAGAATTGTTAATATAAACACTTCTACATTGTTGTTAAAAATCATAGTCTTGGGTAACTTATAAAATAGATATTTTTCATGTATAAAAATGTAGTTCAGAAACCAATGTGTCATTTACATGCATTTCTGTCATATGGCTGCACTTATGAAACATGAACACTCAATTCCTTATTAGCCAAAATTCTTTGAGATTTTCCTGATTTGTCATATAAAAATTGTGCCATATAATAATGGTGTATAAATGAAGCAACATTTGCAAATTATTGTATATGCTGTGGGAGGGAGATCACTGTTTTATATACCCAAGGCATACTTTATTCAATATTTGCCAGTTCCCTTTAGACTATGGCACCAGGATTAACACTGAAAATACTACATTTAATTACCTCTAACCAATGAGACAGTGTAATTCTTTCTGTCACCTTCCCAATACATCCATTAATATGATAAAATATTGTTTTTTAGCACCATACTTGGTAATGGCCCACAGTCAAACTTTATGGTATTTATTACATCATTTACTGATTAAAAATTATTTACCATTCAGAACATGTTCATTTTGACAGTGAAGTTTTTAAGACAATATTAATTTAAAGAGAATTTTGTCATATTTCTTTTGACCCATGATTCCACACTTTCCAGATCTGGATTCTGTCATCCAGTGTCTTATCAGAGCTTCCCAACTTTGTGATTTCCCAACTTTGATCTGCATTGCCTTTGGTCTTCATAGGAGATACAGCTGACCATTCCTACAGGCCTGAGCTTAAAGGCCAGTTCTGCAATTACTAGCTTCCAGGTATGAAGAGGAAGGCTATTTCACCTCTTTGAAACTCAGTTCCCACTTCTGTAAAATAGGAAAAAAATTAACCTTATAAGATTTTAAAAGGTAGCAATTTTACCTTGTGGCTCTGTGTGGTGTGCTCGAAATTAGATACCATAAATTGAGCACAAACAATAAGCATATATTTCCCTTTTATCTGTGTGATGTGTATGTAAAAGGATATGGCTCTGAAAAGCAACCAGAGATTATTGAACACCATCCTAAATCAATAGATATCCTACTCATGTCATTCTGATCTATTACTTTAGAAATGATAAAAATATCACATGTATCCATAGTTTTCCATTTAAATATTAATGATCACTTTTGATGAAAATCTAAATACACTTAGTTCAAAAATTAAAGTGTTCTCTAATTGCTAAAATTTTGCTCAGAATCATTAAGTTCACCAGAGATGCAGTTTTCAGAATTATTTCACTTTTTAAGGAAAGTGTAACTTCTTGCTTTTTGGCATCTTTTTTAATAATTGCAAAAGTTATCACTGTAGTAACTAATAAATTACCTGGGCAATGATGTTCAAACTTGAAAACAGGCATCTTATCTCTTGATCTGCCTTGGGTTTCAATATTTAGCTCCCACTTTTTCAAATTTTTTCTCTGCAAACTTTGGGATTATTCTCTTCAGGAGGGAAAATGCTGTAAAAAACACACTTTAATAAGATTTTGTTCTTTGCTTTTGTTTGCTTTTAACATTTTTTATCTACTCTAAACAAAAAGATCTCTATTATATTTGTTTATATACACTGAAATCATTGTTCTCCTCTGTATGTACATATATGTGCAATATGTGCATATGTGCATATATTTCCATTTATGCATATATTTGTAAAATTTATATATTCATTTATGTGTATATATGAAAATATATATGTATACACACAAAATATATAAAATATGTATGTATACACACATGCACACACACACTCAGAAAGTAAGAGAGAAGTGCATTCTTAAAATTATTATCAGCACCCACCCCTTAGTTTATTCTTGGCTTTAATTTTTCTATCACACTCTTGGTTTAGATCCTCATTCTGAACTCGTTTTTGGTTATGTGTCCTCATGTATTTCACACATGATATATTTTGAAAATCAACACACTACAAACTTTTGTGCAGCCTTTTAGTTTCTTTATATCACTTTTAAATATGTTCATTTTCTGCCATACTTAATA